CCCCAGGCAGAGCAGGTGGCCAACAGCTGCTCCTTTCAACAAGAAGTGCCAGATGGAAGGGCTGGGGCCCATCAGCTCACCTTTGACAGACATGGGACTGTCAGTCATTCTCAGTCTGGTATCCCCCCACCCCCGAGTCACCAGGGTCAAGGCCCTCTCTTTGGATCTTGAGAAGAGCAGCTGAGTTCCTTTCTGTAGTCTGAGGGCCTGAGCCCATGTTATAGACTCAGGTGAGAAGCCTGTGCTGCTGTCAGCAGGGAGAGAGACCTGGTTCCCAAACCCCAGACCAGCTTAACCTTCATATCTCTAGCTGGTGCAAATCAATATCTACCTGGGCAAGTTACTGAAACAATAAATGGGATATGCTACAAAAAGTGATTAGCATACTGCCTGGAATCTGCTAGACACTTAGTAAATGGTAGTTCATTCATAATTAAATAAAAAGTGGCTTTTGTTCAAAAGTAACCTCTGTAGAGAGGCCCTGATCACCCCCCTGGAGTAGGCTCCTGTCACTGTTTCCTTATCTTGCCTTTTGAGCAGAGGCTAATCCCCCCCAGAAAGATAAGGAGAGACAGAAGCCTGCTCTAGGTGGGGTGGCCAGGAAACTCTTGTTAGTTTTTGCTTATACATATATTTGCTTTCTCTTAGTGGCTTTATGTTTTTTCCACTAGAACTCAAGCTCCATGAGGATAGAGACTTTGTTCATTGCTGCATCCTCAGTGCCTAAATCAGGTCAGCAGATTTAGATGTTCAACAAATATTTGAATGAATTTTCCAATACATGGCATAGTAACCAACAATACATAAAATCCCTGACACTTAGGTGCTTCATAGTTTTCAAAGCATCTAAACCTGGTGCCCCTATCGCAGTCCTCTGACTTTGGTAACACTGGAGACGTATCCCCCCCTCCCACCCCTCCGGCTCTCTTTCTTGGGTGTCTGCATCCATACAACAATCTCCACTGAGCAGAATCTCTACCACCTAGTCTGTGGGCCCAATGCAAAAGGAAACCTCCTCGAGGCCCTTGTTCCACATGTATTAAGAATGTCAAGATGGAAACAGCAGAGCCTTAAGAAGAGCTTGAGGCCCAAGTGGCTACCCAAGTAGCTCCCCTGGCAGCTGGCCCTGTGATTCGACCTCTGGGCTCCTCCACCCCTTCTTTAAGCTTTGCCAAACGACCTGATGATTCTCTTTTTTCACTCTGTGTACCTCCAGTGTTTCTCCTCCTTTCTTCTCTGTTTCCTCCTCTTCCTTCCTCTCCAGTCTTGGACTCCCTTCGTCATGATATCCTCTGACACCTGGACATTTTCCCCAGGAATTCTGGGCCTCATCATCTTTTCAATGCAGCTATGGACGCCCTACAACTCAATGACCATGAGGCTCTGGTGTCCAGGTGGGACAAGGCTTTTCTATCCACTCCTATTTGGAGGGCAGGTCATTTTGGACTTGGCAGTGCAGTTTCAGAGACGAGGGGAGGAGGTGGGGGAGAAGGCTGTCTGAGCCCAGGGTGCTGGAAGAATGCCTGCGTGGAAGGCCAGAGGCTGGCCTCCGGGTGGGCTGCACAGTCCTGGCTCACACGCTGCATGCCTGTGAGGTCGGATGGGCACAGTGAGCAGTGGGTGCTGGGTGTGAGCCAGTGTGAAGGGTCAGGACCGTGGTGGGTGAGGGGTTCACTGTCTGGAACTGGCAGGAGCTGCTTCAGCTCGTTATTGCCAGGATCTTCTGGTTTCCAAGAGGAGCCAGAAATCCAGGTTCTAATCTGAACTTTTTTTTTTAATTTTATTTTTAGGAGCGCTGTATGAGCTGGCTTTTCCCACCAATCACTGGTTGTCAAGGTCTGCACTCCTGGTTTTGGGACCACTGGCATGCCATCTGTACCTCCCAAGGCCTGAGGTTCCTTTTATGGCAGCATCCTACAACCACACCAGCAGAGGATGAAGGCCTTCCAGACTGTCAGGGTCTCCCCATCCCCTGCCCCATTCGAGGGGAGGCAGGCTGAGACCAGGAGGGCAGGAAGGCTCAGGATCATTCTGGAGGAAGATCTAAGACAAGAGAGGTAGGCAAGAGCTCAGTTGTTGAGGTGGGTTTCCCTCGGTCCCTGCTGGGTAGAGAACAGAGTAATTGATTCTAAAGTCAAAAAGGGCACAGCAGACCATCAGAACCAGCCCTGTATTTATCTTTAGGAAGAAAGCTCCAAGAGATGTGACCTTCTCCACCAAAGGATGGAGTCTGCCTACGGCATGAGACAACCAGCTGGATTTCATATGGTTATCAGTGGGTGGGTGGGTGTTCCAAGGACATCGATGCCCTCCTTCCCCTGGGGGAGCCCTCCACAGCAACTGCCCAGGTGGGATCAGAAGTGCTGAAGGAGGGAATCAGTGGAGAGCATGAAGTGTCGGAGTGTAGGGGACCTCCCAAGATGGCAGGTGTTGGCATTTTGTAGTCCCTTGAGCTGAGCAGTGCTATTCCCTTCTGCTCTGTACCACAAGCACCTTCCCATCCCACAGACTCACCCATCTGTACTCTCAGGTCAAAGGTTCTACAGGGCCTCTCTGTTATGGAGATTGGGAGCTCAGGTCCAGAGTCAGTAGAAACAAAAACCAAACCCAGGAAGGATTTAAGCAGCACAGGCAAAGCTTTATTATGAGCTTCTTCTGGAATCAGAAGGAAGACAGCACTGACTGACAGCGTCGGGCCTAAACAAGCACACAGGTGTCGGCCTAAATGGCATCTCTGGGTGGACAGGAACTTCAATCTTGATGCCATCACGTGGACAGGTGGGTTTTTTTTGGGGGGGGGTGGGGGAGGTTTGTAGTGGTTGTTGTTGTGTTTGGTACTGGGAAGTAAATCCAGGGGTGCTTAACCACTGGGCCACATCCCCAGCCCTATTTTGTATTTTTTTTAGAGACAGGATCTCACTGAGTTATTTAGGGCCTCACTAAGTTGCTGAGGCTGGCTTTGAACTCATGATCCTCCTGCCTCAGCCTCTGGAGCCTCTGGGATTTCAGGCATGCGCCACCCTGCCCGGCTTGGACAGGTAAGGTTTTAGCTCCGCCTTGACTCCTCTTCATCACACATCATTCCCATCTTAAATCTCCACTATCCATGTGCATTTACTCTGCTTTTAAGGTCAAGACAATTGCAGGTTACTTCTGGGACTGTTCTACCCAGGTTTTGGCCCTCACCGACTGGAATTTGTCCCTCATCAACTGAGAGGTCTCTGATATTATTTTCAAAATGGGGCAGACAATTATTCTGTGTCATGGATTTTTCAGTGATTTTGCTTTGTCTGGCTCCAGCTTCTTGGCATTTCTACTGACCACCTAATCTCAGAAGCTAGGCTGACCTCTCAGCCTCCATCTCCTGGCTTGTTGTCTTACTCCTAGAGACTTGAAGACTGGTTCACTTCTTCATTCCTAATTCTCTGGTGTGACTGTTAACCCCATAAGACTGAGAGCTAGCTCCGCTCTCTTATCTCCCCTGACAGGTTTTATCCCTCAATCTTAAGGGGTCCTGTTTTTCATGGGTAGAGTAAAAACTCTTTTCCTTTCATCTAGTTTTTCGTCTGCAGTGGATATTGAACATGGTAAGGAAGGCTGGTAGAACTGTTTGTAAACTAAGTGTCAATATGGCTTGAGTGAGAACAGGAGGGGGTCTCCTGTGAGTACAGTTCAGGATATTGACAGTAGATATTTTGTGACACAATCTGCCCTCAGGTCTTTTCCTCATTTACTCACTTGACAAATATTTATTGAGTACTTGCCAATTGCCAGGGCTGTTCCTGGGCTCGGAGCTCCAATATCAGACCAGACAGCAAGCTCTCTGCTCCCCCCGAGTAGGGTGTGCGCCTGAGTGGTTAGCTGTGGTCCGAAAGGTGAAATTGCTAAGTGACCAAGTTCCAGGGAGACAGATTGTGGCATGTTAGCTTTCTGTGGGAGTTTCAGAGACATATGTTTAGTTAGGAAATGTGTTAGGACACACACACACGCGCTCCTCCAACATGGTATTCCAACTTCTAAATCCACCCCAATTTCCTCCAGCCATAGGGCCCACCACCCAGTAGGAAGTGGAGAAATTTAGTCATTGATAGAAAATAGAACCCTGACTTCAATTGCCATCTGTGGATGAGGACTGGACAGATATTTCTGAGGCAAATCTGAAAAAGAAAATTTTTTTATTTCCCAGAATGCTCTTCCTCTTTTTTTTATTCTATTTATTTGTTTAATACCATTTATTGAGCCCCTATTATGTGCCAGGCCCTTGATTTAAGTACTGAGAATATGCAGGTAAAGACTTACTTCTTCCCTTTGAGGATCTGTAAGGATTTGACTATTTGTGACCCCCAGCACACCTGTGCACAGATTGTCACAAGCCAGCATGACGTATACCAGCACCAAGAGATTCACGACTGCCCAGGGGAAAATGACAGAGAATCAAGGAAGTCTCCCTGGAGGAGGTGTCAGTGGAGCTCAATTTTGACAGATTGAGTGGGAATGGACATGCTTCTCACTTTGACATCTAACCACTGAGTCTGTTCAGGAGGGATGGGCAAGAATGGAGACAATGGAGATGTGGAGAAACAGATAGGGTTGCTGGAACCCTCTGAAGATCCACAATGCTCATCTTTTTCCTCACTGGCCACCGTTGGGACCTATTTTGAAGTTGATTCTGAGCCTAGTCTTTTCCAGGACTGGTAACCTTCAAGGGGGCTGTTGGGCCAGCAGTCCTTGGGTTTGACTATTTGTGACTCTAGTATACCTGCAAGCTGTGGCAGCCTGGTAAGTAATCAGGCAGCATGTTTGATCACTAAGCAATTATTGTGTACCCACTGTTTACACAAGTTCCTTAGTCCTCAGAACTGACCACTTTGGATATGCAATCTGTATGATTGCAAGTAAAACAAAGTCCACCAAATAACACCCTCACTCACCTGAGCCCATTTCACATTTTATGTTAGTCAGTCTTCTATTGCTGTGACAAAATACCTGAGATAAACAGCTTAAAGAAGGAAAGATTTATTGTGGTCCATGGTTTCCTAGATTTCAGTTCATATTCAGCTGGCTCCATTATTATCCACCTGTGATGGGGCAGAAACCTCATGGCCAAGAGGTCATGGTAGAAGAGAGCTTCTCACCTCATGATGAACTGGGAAGCAAAGAAAGAGAGGAAGAGACCTGGACAAAATAAAGTCCCCAAAGCCACAACTCCAAGGACTCACTCCCTTATCCAAGTCCCACCTCTTACAGTTCCCAGGACCTCTCAATAATCCATTCAAATGATAAGTCCACCCGTGGATTAAGGTGATTATAGGTCAGAACCTATGATCCAGTCATTTCCTAAAAGCCCCACATCTGAACATTGCTGCATAGAGGACCAAGCCTTTAACACAAGAGCCTTTGGGGGACATTCCAGATTCAAACCAGGACACGGTTCTTAAAAATAAATAAATAAATAAAAATAAACCTACCGACCATCTCCCCCCTCTTCTTTTGCAAAGGTTCTTCTCAAGAGCTGAGCTAAGTGTCTCTGTCACGGCTTCCTTGCTATAAAGTATGCAGTGCCTTCATAAACTGCTCTCTTCCTGTGTAGCCTTTGTGAAGACAAATGAGAGGAGCATGTTTTCTTTTCTTCTGGTGACGCAGCAGGGGACATTTTCATCTTGACAGCATCTCGCCTCTCTCCACCCCTTCCCGAGACAGTTTGGCATCTTTCCACTCAGCACCTCGGGTTCAAAGGAGTCTGCCTGATGAGAACCAGGCTGTGGCTGGAACTCGCCCCGCCCTGTGTGCTGGAACATTCTAGGTTTTGTTGACCTCGGCAGGAAAACCTGGGCACCATGGGAAGGAAGCTTTGGAATGGAGCAGATCTGAGAGTGAACCTGGTTTCCAGCACTTCCACCAGCCACAACCTCGGGCAGCTGGCTTCCCTTCTCTGATCCTGTTTTCTCCTCTGTAAAGTGGGTTGGGATGAATCCCTGAGGCCAGTTGTTAACTTCCCAGGGGTGGAGACCGATGCTGTGTCCCCTGGTTAGAGAGGGAGGGCTGGTGTAAAGACACGCGGGGAGTAGACACCCAGGACAAGGTGATCAGACCTCCAGGAGAACCTGAGTGACGTTCAGGATCCCATTGAGCCTGGGTGCTGCGCTGCATCCCACCCAAGTGACTCTACCCAGCAGGTGACTCCATTTACCAGGGTCCCTGCAGCGTCTGCAGCTGCTCCTCGTGCCGCTACCTCCTCTCCTCTCACCTTCTTTCTGCCTCGTGGCTCTGTTCTTTCCCTGGCTGTCACTCAGCCCCTGAGGCTCCTGCATGTGTCTCCCCTCCTGCCAGATGGTGGCCTTGGGACAGAAGGGCTCCCAGGCCCAGTAGTGGGGAGGGGGGGGGTCACAGGTACACAGTGGGGTCACTGCGCTCAAGAACCTATCAGGGTGGTTGGTCTTAGTGAAGAGCCAGGGCTGGGTGGCTGCTTATTGACCTTTTTGCCGATGAGGAAATGGACTCCTCGGAGGATTGGTGAGTGACAGCAGGCATCACACTCAGCTCGGGTGTCTCCAAACCCTGCTGAGGTGCTCTGCTTCCTGCTTCTCTACACCCACACAGGGTACCCAGATAGGAGGGGCTTCTCCTGACTCAGCCTGCTCTCA